TCCAACACCACTGCAGAATCCTCCAAACTCAATTAATTTGGCTTGCTTTAATTAAAAATAAATAAATACTCCCCACCTTGACTAAGGAGCCGAGGCGGTTGTGAAATCAGATACTGCGGTGCAGATGTTGCAGCTTCAGGAAGTTGTGTCCCAGTGACCAGGCGTGCGTTTGGGTGGGAGTGACACGAGGGAAGGCCGATGGCCTCCCTCTGCTCAGTTCACAGTTTCCTTCAGTTACAGGGTGTAGCTTCGAGGACCCGTTGGGGTGGGGAGCAAGCTGGTGAGGTGTGTCCTGCAGACTCATTCCACTGCCAGAATCACCCAGGAAGCGTGGGTCCTGCGGAGAGCACTAGGAAGCCCTGATCCGAACACATAACTGTGTTGGTCCTGAGTCTGCAGAAAGCCACATGTGTGAGTTCACCAAGGACGACCACGCAGGTGGTTTCAGGGACCTGGATGTAGGTAGAGGAAGCAGGATGGCGGCACTGACTGAAAGGGGCATCTGCCCCTCAAATCCAGATACGGCGGGTCCTCTGAATAGCATAGTTTCATTCTGTGTCATTTCATTATAACCTTGATGAGATGCCATAGGAACTTAACATTTGTTTACACTAATTAGCCTGTGGTAAAATTGGTTCCATTATATGTTACTTCTCTTAAAGTTGCAGAGCCTATCAATGACATTCATTAAGTGAGGACTTACTGTAATCATAGCCATTTGTGCTAAGGGTTGCCAACCTTCAAATATTTCTACTCTGAATTTTTTGCTGAAATTTGCTGATTTAAAAAATGTTGGCAAAACTCAGTGTAAACTGTGGGCCAAACAAAATATGTCTGAGGGTTGAGTGTGGCTAACAGACCCCTTTTTACAACCCCTGGCTGAAAGGCCTGCGTAGAAACTTTTAGCTTTAGATGCCAAAAGAACAGACCCCTAAACGTGTTCTCATCAACCCCCTCATTTGACAGCCAGGACAGTGGCAACCTAGAAAAGAGATTTGCCCAGACTCATAAAATGAGGTGCTTGTGGCTTAATCAAAATGGATACAAGACTGTGGGAATTCAAAGGGAGTATGGAACTTGCATTTGTCAAATTGAAAGGAAACACATATCCTTCAGTATCTTGGGGGCTCGTGGTGGGAGCCAAAGCTGAGTGTTTCAGAATCATACAGCTGGCACAAAGAAAGGAACCATCTCTTGACAGTATTCTTCAAAACTGATTTCCCAAATTTATCCTTAAATTTACACAAATCACCGAAAAGCTGTTTCCCTAAAGAACGGCTTTCATCAGACACTATGCTTAATTACTATATCCTCAATGAAGACTGGGAGCATAATGTCAAATGTAAATTTCTATACACAGAACATTTATGTTTTTTGTAAAACTGTCACCAAAAATTTTATTATATTTAGAATGCCCCTATATACAAGGAACCCCATTCCAACCTGACTTTCAGAACTAAGGATCCTGAAAACATTTTTACTTTGAACTGGTGTGCTCCTAGTTATTAAATAACAAGGGCTGCGTATCCTGTATACTTTCCCTTTTTCCCTGGCAGCTAGGAAGCTCAGATTTGAGTTTTAAGTTAAGTTGCTGCTTAATGCAAAAACATTTAAAGCTACTGCTACCTAATATATTGGTTATTTACTTGAGAAAAATGACCAAAAAATTATAATAAATTCAAAATCCCTCTTAAGTTAATTTGATTTATATGACTCACATTAGAAAATATAACTTTTTAGTCCCCCCGACCCAAAACCAATGGTTTACTGTTCTTGCTGGGTCTTTAGACACATTGAATCCTGCATTCTGTGGGTGTCTAGGGCAGTTGGTTGAGTTGGACTTAAGTTTGTGTGTGAGACCCAAGGTAACAACTGTTTATTACTTTCAGTTAAAAGTCCATGCTGCTTTGGTGGGACTGCCCCACTCAAAGTCAGGAATTGATACTCAACCCCTTTCTTTTTCTGAGATATAAATTGACATATAATTGATATTATTAACTTATAACATTACATTAGTTTCATCTGTATAACATAATGGTTGAATATTTGTATATATTGCAAAATAATAACCACAATATGTCTAGTTAGCATCTGTCACCATATGTGGTTACAAGATTTTTTGTGTGTGATGAGAACTCTTAATATCTACTCTCTTAGTTTTCAAATATGCAGCACAGTGTTAGTAACTGCAGTCACCGTCTACACATTACATCCCCACGGTTTGTACCTTTTGATCTCTTTCACCCATTTTGCCCACCCCGTAAGCCCCTGCCTTTGGCAACCACCAGTCTATTCTCTGTATCTTTGAGCTCAGTTTTTTTTTAATTCCACATATAAGTGGTATCATATGGTAATTGTCTTTCTCTCTCTGAATTATTTCACTCAGCATAATGCCCTCAAGCTCCATCCATGCTGTCGCAAATGGCAAAAGTTTCTTCTTTTTATGGCTGAATAATATTCCATTGTGTGTGTGTGTGTGTGTGTGTGCCTGCCTTTATTCAGTCATCCGTTGGTGGGCACAGGTTGTTTCCATATCTTGGGTACATAAGGCTGCAATCAACACAGGGGTGCGTATATCTTTTTGAGGTCGTGTTTTTATTTTCTTTGGATAAGTACCCAAAAGTGGAATTGCTGGATCATATGGTAGTTCTATTTTTAATTTTTTGAGAAACCTCCATAGGGTTCTGTTTTTCCATAGTGGCTGCACCAATTTACATTCCCATAAACAGTGCAAAAGGGCTCCTTTTACTCCACATTCTCGCTTGTTATTTACTGTCTTTTTGATGGCCATCCTAACAGGTATGAGAAGATATCTGTCTCGCTGTGGTTTTGCATTTCCCCAATGATTAGTGACATTGAGCACCTTTTCATGTACTTCAAGCCTTATGATAAAATCGTGGTACTGTTAAATGACTGGATCTGCCTCTGCCTAAAAGGTCGCCTATACCTTTTCAGTTTAGGGAGCAAAAAACTCAGGATCTTGTTGAAACCGCTTGGAGTTGGGGTTTCAGTGTCTTGGATCTGAAGGCCACCTGTTGGCCATGTAATCACCGGGAAGTGCCCTCTCCCCGCGCAGGCAGAACTCACCAGGCATCTCCTCGGCACTGAGGGGGAAGAGCCAGGGGAGAGACGCTGCATGGAAGGATATGCGTGTTTCGGCTCTGCTCCAATTGCCGAATTGCTCTTCCACACGGAGGTGCCAATAGCATCCCCCCCCAGTGGACTGACTTCCTGTTTTCCCACATCCAACATTTGGTGGCAGGACCTCTGCATACTCCCTGCGGTAATGGGTGAAATGTGATAGCTCACTGCTGGCTTCATTTGCATTCACTGGTTACCAGAGAGGTGGGCACAGGCTGCCACATTCTGATGCGTGGGTACAACTTATTTCCACTATCCGGGTAACATATTGTGATAGTCATCAGAGCACTGGTCTGGGCTGGATCGCGTGATGCTGTGCTATTCTTGCACATCATCATCATCATCGTCGTCACTGG